TAAAGAGGAACACTCCCATTCTCATGTAACACCATTTTTAGAAGAAACGACGCTCTGAGTGAAGGCATACTCTGTCTGACTTTTTGGGTTACCCTAGATACTTTACACACATGCTGTTATGTATGATAATCTATGTAACTGTATTTGTGTATACATGAATAAACTTACTTACATATGAAAGAAATAATTTTCTACAGTTACCCCCAGTAACACATTTTCTCTTATGTTGGACTAGAGAAAATGTTATTCTTGCCATCACTCTTACAAGTTGTCTGGCTACCACACCTCATATTTATATTTATTTATTCTACTGTGGGTGTGTATTTTATCATCTTTATATGTTACGTATCGTGTTTATTATAATTCTGAAAAAATATCATAGCTGGATTAATGAAAATGTGTATATTAACCCTTTCAAGGTTGAGAGGCCCTCTCCCAAGCTCATTGTCAGGAAAAAAAAAAAAAAAAAAAAAAAAAAAAAAAAAAAAAAAAAAAAAAAAAAAAAAAAAAAAAAAAACTTATGAAATGATAGAGAATCTTTTTCTGATCATAACACCAAAAGTATGAAATTTGATGAAAAACTTATGGAATTATGCTCTCGTGAAGTTAGCGGTCTCAAAGTTGGCGATTTTGCTCACTTTGGGCCCTATTTTCAGCCAATTTCTATGTTGCAGTTGACTAGAATCAAAGCTACTTCCCTAGAACTCCATTTGTTCTATCGATTGAGTACATGAATCTGCCCATTTACTGATTTCAACTACCCAATAAACTGGTCAGGAATTGGCAATTTGAACAATTTCACACAAATTTCAAAAGATGCCAATTTCAAAATAGTCACGTCTCTAGGCCCTTCTTGCATTACTTTTGCTTTCCATTTTGAATTTTTATTCTCACAGAAAATAGAAAGTTTTCTGTTATGTATACTATTGCATCATTGTAAAAATGGTATAAATGACAATAGCACACTTATGAAAGAATATTAGATTCACCAGTTGACGTGTATTGGACGCGTGGCTTGATTTGTCTACTCTTGAATATCGGCAAAAATCGATAATTTTTACTACTTTGAGCTCACTTTCAAGGTACTTGTCATCGTGAAACCAATCAAAATCATCTCTAATTCTATAATATATCTTCCATTCTATCAAATGAGGCCAAGGAAACGAGAATACAACCATAAATACCATACAAAAATTCACTAAAGTCGCTGTTTTAAACCAAAAAACACAGTCGAAGTTTTTTTTCTCATTTTGCACAGCGTGCTTCAGGATTTTTTTATACTTCGCACGCTGACCACACAGACCCATTCTTTCATATGTAAGCCTGCCAGCTTTCTTCCACCAGATTTGAAGGCACTAGAATATAGGCATACAAGTACGTGACCGACCCTGGCTACAATGACATACTAGTACGTGACTGACCCTCAAAGTGTTAATGTAATATACAACATTTAACCCGTAAACGGTCCAAGCAGATCTACATTCACATGCGTAGTGCTCCAAAAGTAGATCTACTTATTTTTTATTACATATTTAAAAAGCAAAAAAAAAAAAAAGCAAAAAAAAAGCAAAAAAAAAAAAAAGCAAAAAAAAAAAAAGCAAAAAAAAAGAAAAAAAAAAAAAAAAAAAAAAAAAAAAAGATGATCTACTTTTTTTACATACTATCAAATGTTGAAAAAACGTATATATACGTTTGAACCGTTTACGGGTTAATGAGACTCGGTGATTATTACCGAGTATTATTATTGTCATTACTAATATGGCATCTCGAGACATAAGACACTCTTACAGAAGTCTCCCTTATTATCAACACACTAAAGAACAAGAGATTTAAATACCTTACCACCCTTTATATAAAAAAAGCTTCATAAGTATGTACTGTCACCCATCACTGCAATACTCTTTAACCCTTTCAGGGTCGACAGGCCCAATCAGAGACTTGTTCTCAGGGTCGGCCAAATTTAAAAAAAAAAAAAAATATTTTTTCTTATGAAAAGATAGAGAATCTTTTCCCGGTCATAATGACACCAAAAGTATGAAATTTGATGGAAAACTTACGGAAATATGCTCTCGCGAAGTTAGCGGTCTCGACGATGTTTACGCATCAGTGATTTTCCCCACTTTGAGCCGTATTTTTCACCAATTCCAGTGTACTTGTCGACAAAAATCAACTATTTCGCTAGAACTACATTTTTCTATCGAATGAGTACAAGAAACCACCCATTTACCGATTTCAACTATCCAATACAGTAGTCAGAATTTAGCAATTTTGCCAATTTAACACAAATTTCAAAAGATGCCAATTCCCGAATAGGGTCCAGAATAAACAAGAAAGACATTCCTGGCACTAAAAACATTTCCTCTGTTCATTAGTCATGTCCCCACACCCCTCTTACATTCTTTTGCTTTCCACTTTGAATTTTTATTCTCACAAAAAAATAGAAGGTTTACTGTTATGCAGACTACTGCATTGGTGTAGAAATGGTATAAATATTATCAGTGCACTTGTGAAAGAATATTAGACTCACCAGTTGACGTGTATTGGACACACAGCATGAATTGTTTACTTTTGAACTTTGGTAAAAATCAAACATTTCTGCTATTTTGAGCGCAATTTCAAGGTAGTTTTCTTTGTAAAACCAGTCAAAATCATCTTAATTTCTGTAATATGTCTTACATTCTATAAAATGAGACCAGGAAAACTAGAATACAACAATAAATACCATACGAAAATACAGTGCAAAGTCGCTGTTTTAATCCAAAAACACGGTCAAAGGTTTTTTTTTCTTATTACGCACTGTGTCCTACAGGTTTTTTTATACCACGAACACTGATCACATAAATGCATTCTTTTATATGTAGGCGTACCAGCTTTCTCTCACTAGATTTGAGGGCGCTAGAATTTAGGAGTACTAGCACGTCAAAAACCCTGGTGCGTAAGCCGTACTAGTACGGGCAAAACCCTGAAAGGGTTAACAAATCTATCGAATCCTCTACCTTCCCTAATGTTCTCAAAATAGCGAGGGTCACCCCGATACATAAAGGAGATCAAGCAGACTTGAATAACTATAGGCCAATATCCAACTTACACCCTCTCTCAAAAATCTTTGAAAAAATCTGGAATTCATTACCTGTGAATATAAAAAAAAAAACACTGTTTATCAATTCAAGGCTCTTCTTAAAAGCCACTTACTCACCCACAACTAAATAAATACTGAATAACTATCTCATAAATGTATAACCTGTGGCCCTATCAAACTGTTTTTTTTTTAATTACATTACCTAATAGAATACTCCATTCTCTTGAATGCTCAGTAACTCATCTAATGACCATATGACCTGTTTCTGCACTACAAGTCATTGATTTTACTCGATTTAATCGGATATTATACACTGTTATGCTACAAATTTGTACAATTTTAATGCTTCTTATTTGAAATGCTTATTTGTACTTCATGTTGAAATTTGTTTACTGTAATTTTTACCACTGAATATATAATTACAGTGGACCCCCGCTTTACGATCAGCTCCCAATGCGACCAATTATGTAAGTGTATTTATGTAAGTGCATTTGTACGTGTATGTTTGGGGGTCTGAAATGGACTAATCTAATTCACAATGTTCCTTATGGGAACAAATTCGTTCAGTAATGGCACCTGAACATACTTCTGGAATGGAATAATATCCTAAGCCGGGGGTCCACTGTACTTAGTTAATCTTAAGTTAATTTTAAGCCTGCCCATAATGCTCTGCATACAAGGGGCTTTTGGCATGTACACCCAATCACTAAATTTCTTTGTACAAATATGTATCATGTCCAAATAAAAAATAAATAAATAAATAAATGTGTACCTGCACACAAGCACAATGTGTAAGTTTATTTAGGTACAGGTATACATAAGTATAATTATCAGAGTATGTATACATAAAATATGAAATAACTTTTAAAAACACTTGAAATTTTGGAGTTTCCAGACATAATGGAGAGAGAGTGCTTATGGAGCTCACAGAGAATGTAAACAAAGTGGGTAGGGTACAGTGATTGTATTAAAGTCAGGTGGGGGGAACCGTGTAGCTTAGGTCATAATTTGAAATGATCGAATTAGCAGAACGCCGTAAAGCAAAACGCCATAAAGCGGGGCCCTACTGTACTCAAATCAAGAGATGCCAAGCCAATAATCCTCTTTGAATCACTTGTTCTCTCAAGTCTGGAATACTGCTGTACATTAACATCTCCATTCAAAGCAGATGAAATTGTAGATCTAGAGAATGTACAGAGAACCTTTACTGCATATATAAGTTCCATCAAACACCTTCACTGCTGGGAACGCTTGGAAGCACTTGACTTGTACTCACTGGAGCGCAGACGATAGAGATCATAATCTACAACTGGAAAATCCTAGAAGGAATGGTTCCTAATCTACACAGTAATCACTCCCTATGAAAGCAAAAGACTGGGCAGGCGGTGCAAAATACCCCCAATGAAAAGTAGGGGTGCCATTGGTATATTAAGGGAAAACACAATAAGTGTCCAGTGCCCAAGACTGTTCAACAGCCTCCCACCAGGCATAAGGGAAATTATCAATAGATCCCTTGCTGCCTTAACCCTTAAACCGTCCAAACGTAGATCTACTTTTTTTTTTTACATAAGCATGTAAAATAAAATGTACATCTATGTTCAGAGTGCTACGCGATTGAACGTAGATCTACGTTTGGACAGTTTAAGGGTTAAAGAGGGAGATGAACAGATACTTAAAGTTGGTGCCAGATAAACCGGGCTGTGGTTAGTATGTTGGACTACATGCAGCCAGCAGTAACAGCCTGGTTGATCAGGCCCTGATCCACTGGGAAGCCTGGGTGTGGTGCCTATAATAATCTAGTAACTATCGTCAGAGGATTTACAGAAGGAACATTAGAGTACTGCTATAACATTACAGATAAACAATGAAATCTAAGTTTATAAAATTCATCCCTAGATCTCAAAATTTTACTTTCTCTTACCTCCTCTGTTAACAACTCTGGAGAGACTTCAGGAACTTCATCTTCAACACTAGGTGGAGGTGGGGCCAGTTGGAAAGCATATATGCTTCTTAAGTTGTAATTAAGAAATTTGGTCATGTAGCTATCCTCCTGTAAAAGACAGATTATGTAGGTACAATAATATTAAGTACAGTATGCAACTTTTTTCAACGTTTTATAAAAAAAATTATAAAATTAACTTTACTCTTGGAATTAGTGATCATTATTTTTTAACCTCAACAGCCATCCCCCACCTTGGCAGGGGGACCCAAAGGAGAAAACACATTCACTATCATTCATTCAATTGCTGTTTTTCCAAAAGTGTGCTGACATCAACTCGGATCACCCACCAACTGCAACACACCCACCCATCCTTCAGAGTCAAGGCACTGCCCTTTCCACCTCCAGAATTCAAATCCAGCTGGCCAGTTTCCCTGAATCCCTTTGTTAGGGTTACTTTACTAAACTCCAACAGCATGTCCCTTAAAAACCACTTGTCTCCATACACTTCTAACACACTTGCACAAGCTTAATGGATGCTCAACCTCAAACTCAAAAGGCCTCTTTTACTCCTCCTTCCAACCAATCATTGGAAGACCCCTAAATCCTCCTACCTTCCATCCCAGATTTACACAGCATTGGTCATTCTACCCCACTCCATTCTCTCTACAGCCTAAAACCACAACCCATGCTCAGCCCTCTGAATTAAACTGTCAGCAGTACAATACTTGTGTAGTACAGGTACCATCTGACTTACGACTGAGCTTGGTTCCAACCAACTAGTCGTAAGTCAAAATGAACTTAAGTCGAACTGTAGAAAATTGCCGATAGCGACACATCAAAAATTAAATCCTAATCTTGTAAAGCAATCATTCTTTTATGTTAGTTGTGGAAATCACTTCAATCCATTCAGCATTACTGATTGGTTTTCACAAAATAGGTGAATAATTTACCTCAGAGATAACAGCCGAAAGTGCGTGCATACTCGAGTACTCGGGAATTTTTTTTTTTTCCCAAAAAAAATCCCTTTTCTTTTTTCAGTGTTTTTATAAGCAACAAGTGGCTGTTACAGTTTGCCCTCGTGCTAGATCCACTTTCTCTCACAAGAGTGACAAAAGAAGGGATAATAAGTCTTATGGTTGGTTTAGGAAAAACACTGCACAACACAAACAGTTGTTTATTTCTGTGAACATTTCCAGCTGGTACATGAGAAAGAAAGGTTACAAACACTATGGCTTGGGTAGCTTGAAAAATAGGTTGGGCAAATAAATGTATGTGGATGGAGGGATTTGAGAAGGCATGCCCAGTTTGGGCCAACAGGCCTGCTGCAGTGTTCCTAGTTTCTTATGTTCTTATGTAATAGAGAAGGGACACTGAAACATGCCTTCTCAGATCCATCCACATACATTTTCCCAACCTATTTTTTATGCTACCCAAGTCATAGCTTTTGTAACCTTTCTTTCTCATGCGCCGGCTGCAAATGTTCTCGGAAATTGTTGATATTAGTGTAAGAATAGAACATTTTGTCGGATGCTCTCGTGATTCAATTGAAATTGAAATGTTTATTTCTCTGTAAAGATTACAATGTGGGGTTTACATTTTTTAACCCTTTTAGGGTCAAGAGGCCCTCTCCTAAACTCATTCTCAGAGCCGAAAATTTTCGGGGGGGGGGGGGGGGGGGGGGGATTTCTTATGAAATGATAGAGAATCTTTTCCTGATCATAATGACACCAAAAGTATGAAATGTGATGGAAAACTTATGGAATTATGCTCTCGCGAAGTTAGCGGTCTCAACAATGTTTATGAATCGGCAATTTCGCCTACTTTGAGCCCTATTTTCGGCCAATTCCTGTGTACTAGACGATAAAATCATATTTCGCTAGAACTCCATTTTTTCTATCAAATGAGTACAAGAAACCACCCATTTGCCAATTTCAACTATCCAATAAAGTGGTTAGAAATTGGCAATTTTGTCAAATTCATACAAATTTCAGAAGATGCCAATTTCCAAATAGGGTTCAGAATAAACAAGACAGACATTCCTGGCACTAAAATAACAAGTTCTTTAAACCATACCCCGGCCGGGATTGAACCCACGGTCATAGAGTCTCAAAACTCCAGCCCGTCGCGTTAGCCACTAGACCAGCTAGCCACAATAAGATTCATCCAACTAGGTATATTTCTACACCATAGGAAGGTTAGCACAGGCACCTCTGTGACCACAAATGCAAGTTTTTACAGACGAATCTCCAGCTAGCGTGGCCGTGACGAACTCTAGCTCAAGTCCCTTCACTGCAGTCAACATGACTCAAGAAATCGTAATGACACGATTGCAAATAAACCATACCCCATTACGATTTCTTGAGTCATGTTGACGGCAGTGAAGGGACTTGAGCTAGAGTTCGTCACGGCCACGCTAGCTGGAGATTCGTCTGTAAAAACTTGCATTTGTGGTCACAGAGGTGCCTGTGCTAACCTTCCTATGGTGTAGAAATATACCTAGTTGGATGAATCTTATTGTGGCTAGCTGGTCTAGTGGCTAACGCGACGGGCTGGACTTTTGAGACTCTATGACCGCGGGTTCAATCCCGGCCGGGGGTATGGTTTATTTGCAATCGTGTCATTACGATTTCTTGAGACAAGTTCTTTGTTCGTTAGTCACGTCCAAAGGCCCCTCTTACATTTCTTTTGCTTTCCACTTTGAATTTTTATTCTCACAAAAAATAAAAAAATTACTGTTATGCAGACTACTGCATTAGTGTACAAATGGTATAAATAATATCAGTGCACTAGTGAAAGAATATTAGACTCACCAGTTGACATGTATTGGACGCTTGGCATGATTTGTTTACTTTTGAACTTTGGTAAAAATCGAACATTTCTGCTACTTTGAGCTCAATTTCAAGGTACTTTTCATTGTGAAACCAATCAAAATCACCTCAATTTCTGTAATATGTCTTCCATTCTATAAAATGAGAACAGGAAAACTAGAATACAACCATAAATACCATACAAAAAAACAGTGCAAAATCCCCGGTTTTTAAACCCCAAAAAAAAGGTCAAAGTTTAAATTTTTTTTTCTCTTTAACGCACTGTGTGCTGCAGGCCCTTTTTTTTATCCCGTGTAAAATTGACCACAGCCCCCTTTCTTTCATTTTGGTAGGCCTCCCAGCTTTCCTCTTTTAGTTTTAAAAACACGCTAAAAATTTGGGGCATTCAAAATACGTGAAAAACCCTGGTGCCTTTAACCCGTACAAGTACATGGGAAAAACCCTAAAAGGGGGTTTAAAAAAAAATTTGGTTTGTCTCCCCCAAAGGCGGGGCCCAAAAAAAAGGGAAAAACCCCCAAAAAGGGGAAAATTTTACAATAAACTTTAAAAACCCCCTTTCACCTAATACATAATCACTGTTTTTTTCAGAGGTGCCCGAACAAAAACATTTAAAGAAGCATAAAACCCCTACCTCCGACTTACGGCCGATTTGGGTTTCCCAAAGAAAACGGGCCCCTAAGTCAAAATGGTCATTAGCGAATTCGACTAAAATATCATAAAAAACGTTTTTGTAATGACTTTTTTTTATTTTTTTTTGGGTTTATTTCATGTTTTTTTTTAATTTTTTATGTTGTTAGAAACTGTATTTTATCTGAAAGGGGTTTAGGATAAACACTGTGTAAAACAAAAAAAGTTGTTTTTTTTCCCCAAAAATTTTGGCCCATAAAAAACAGGGCCCGAAAGTTGAGCGGTCGAAAGTCAAGCGGGTTTGAAATCGGATGGTGGGTTTACTTTTAAAGATACAAAAACTTATCCCTGCAAACGCCAATTTTCCCAAAACCCCCTTTTTAAAGTGCAGGCTTTTATTTCCCATTTCCGTACTCAAGCCGGCTATATAAAAAAAAACCATTTTCCATAAACCCCTTCATAAATATTCCCCCTCCCTCAAACCCAACAGCTTGTCGGGGTCCCAAAATTTCCCTTTTGTCTCCTTCACCCCAAATCAAAACCCGTCATGTACGTTGCGGGAAAGGGTCCAACCCCTAACCCCACAAAACTTCCTTTCCCCCCTCCCTCCAACCTTTAAGGAGGGACCACTCCCCGGCCCCTTTTTCCCCCTCCCAGATTTATACACCCCCAAATTCATTCTATTTTGATCCTTCTCTCTAAATGATCAAACCCCCTTTCAACAACCCTTTTTCACCCCTTGTTTAAATACTTTTATTAAACACCCCTTCCCAAAATTTCCCCCAATCCGAATTCTTTTGGGCATAATTTTTAAACACCAACAGGCCCCTTTAGACAGGGATCCCCACCACCCCCAAACTGATTTCCACTTTTCCCAGCATTTCAACCCAAGCTTCACCCCCTTAAAAGGTTTTGGGTACCACTATATTTTCCCATAATTTTTTTTCTTTGCCTCCATTGACAATTTTTTTTTGGGTCTCCACATATACCTAAATTTGCCCACTCTTTTTTTTCCTTCATCGATTTAGGGTTTAAAACCCTTTGAGGGTGACAGGCCCTCTCCAAAAACTCTTTCCCTAAGGGTCGGCCAAAATTTTTAAAAAAAAAAAAAAAAAATTATTTTTTCTTATAAAAAAAAATAGGGTATTTTTTTCAAAAAAATTTATAGGTTTAAAAAAAAAAATTTTTAACGTCAAAAATTTCCGAGATAGGAGGTGTGAAATTTGCCAAAATTGAACAACACGGGTAAATCGCCGACGGCCGTCCCCCGGGTATTTTTCAAATTTATTTTTTTTATGTACTTTTTTCAATTATTTTTAAATTTTTTCTTTTTTATTAACTTTTATGGCTTTTGGGGCCAAAACATGTCATATTTTGTTTTTTTTTATTTCTTTTCAATACTACAAAATTAAGGGCTTTAAACCCACTGTTGTCATTTTTTTTGTTTACAAAAAATATTTACACAAAAAAACTATGAAATTTTGGTTTTTTACTTTTTTTTCTTTATTTTAAATACACTTTAAAAACACAGGGAATTTTTCTGAAGTTCTGCACCCTGGGAAACTCTTTAAAAACGGGGTGTCATGAACAGGGGATTTTTGCATTTCCTAACATAAAACGAGTGTCTCTGCGTTTTTTGTGGGGGGTTTTTTTGTTTGAACAGAGAAAAACCTTTTCTGACCCTTTTTCTTCAAAGCAAGTTCGGGCAGTTTTCCCAGGAAGTGATCACCAAATGCTTCGACAAGGGGTTTG